TAATTTATTTGATGATCCTCAGCTTAGCTCCTATGTGATCAATAGATTGATAGTGCCTTTGACTGCACCTGTTCATTCTTAAATCCCACAAAGTAGTGTGTAACAGTTCAACATGTTCTCGGTAATTACCATCTTAAGCATCTTTAAAAAGTACAAAATTCGAACGAGTTGCCATTATTAAACAATGTCCTTTCACTACATGCTTTTATACCATAACTTGAAGGATGATGGCATCATCATATGGGAATTAGATTTCTTGCTAGTATTTTGAACTAAACGAGATCAGTTCGTCCTTCTAACTTTTTGGTTTCTTAGTCGCGGATCCAATGACAATAATTTTCTTACATCAAATATGCTTTGGCTAATATCAAGGTCTCTCTTGTTATGACATTGATAATTCCAGACATAAGTTGATTAATAATGTCATTTCTTTGTTCATGTTTTTGACTGGGTCTATCATCGATGTGACCTCGCTCATTGTCATCTCTCTTTTTTTAATTCTTTTTGGTTGCTATTCTTTCATTTTTTCACCAAAGTTTCTCTTGTTTTGTCTTTGCCTTCTATTGTCCACAAATCTATCAATCGACCTTTTCTAATTAAATTCTCAATCTCATTGATTAGGTAAATACAATTTTTGGTATTGTAGCCATGGTTTCTATGGAAAGCGTATTTTTTAGTTAGATCTCTTTTACCGTTCTGCCTTAATGGTTTAGGCCATATGAGTTGGAGATCTTTTTCTTTTTGCATCAAAATCCTCTTTTAAGAGGTATTCAATGTAGTATAGTTGTCATATCTTACAATTGGGTTTCTAGCTATAGGGTACCCCTTTTATGGATTTCTTTTCTCTTGGAGGATTGTCATTTTTTTTACCTCTTTTTTATTGAGATAGAGGAAAATTTCTCTATCACTTCAGTTATTTTTCATCATGCTTTGGCCTTAATGTACTTTTTTGCTACCATCAGTGCCTCAATTAAAGTCTTGGGGGTTTTAAAGAAATAATAAGCTTTAAGTGGTATTCCTTGTCATTCAATCCTCTCATCAGTGCAGCGACAATAGCAGCTTATTCGAGTTCTTTTGCATAAAAAGTTTTGGTATTAAAATATGCTACATAATCTTTTAAAAACTCATCATTTTCTTGATATATGGATATCAAGCTCAAAATAATCTTCTTAGCTCATCGACCATTTGTAAAATGGGTAAGAAAAGAGTGACTGAGATGTTTAAAAGTTAAAATCGACCTTAGTTCCCAACTAGTATACCATGATTGAGTAGTGCTTTCGAAAGTAGTTACACATCTTTTGCAATTGAGTGGCTCATTGGTCCCTTGGATCAACATTTTACTTCTATAAAGTTTAAGATGATCAGAAGGATCAGTAATATCATCATATGTCTTAAGGGTATGCATCTTGAACCTTTTAAGTGATAAAGCTTAATCAATATCCTCGGTGAAAAAAGAAGTATCAAGGAATTTGAGCTTATCTTCAAAGCTAAAAGTCTTGATTGCCATTATAGGTAGCTATACTGTTATCATAGATTTACAATGATTGGGTTTGAGGGTTTCTAAGTGCTATAGTGATTGGTTCTTTAAAGTTTATGGATGGGTTATATTGCAAATCATTTCTTGAAAGGTCTGTAGTTGTTGGGTTAGGGCCTTAAACTGTTCCATGGTCAATATGGTTTGATAGGTTAGTCCGAGTTTGGTTTGCTAATTTGAGTTTCAGTCTTAGATGCAACATTGTCTCTTTTCACTATTCTTTTCTATGGATGCATGATTTGCTTGGCTTTTGAATAAAAAACAATCTACTTAGTACGCCACAATGTTGGTATCAAGTTATCTGACAAGGGCAAAACTTGAAAAGCTAACAAATCAGAGATCGTGAGTCGATCAGTAACAAAGGCTGGAGGTGTCTCTAGCGTTTGTGCTACGACGCTTAAGTAAGTGTTTGGCAGAAAAAAATGAAAAAAAATCACCAAGAAAGTAGATAATTGAATGAATAGTACCTAAATGGAAATAGGTTGTTTATACTTGTGTCAAAGGGGGCTTTAGGCTAAGTTAGCCTAGATTTTGTCTATGAGCATAAGGTTGATAGGTCGACCTGACCTGACTTGACAAATGACGATTCAATTGTATAGTGACATTTTTGCATGTTCATATGTGTTCATGAGGATAGGTGACTTGGCTTAGCTGATAGGACTCCTATAAATTAGGTCGGCCAGTCACATTAACTTAACTTGGAATGTCAACAATGCCTTTCATATATTGATGTACTAAGAAAAAAAAAGTTCGTTATGCCTCTTGGACCATAAAATATCCCTAACGTGTACCTTTCTTAATCTCATTGAAGGTGTATGATGAGTTTATTTACTATTACTAGCTATTGCACTGAAAAACTTTTTGTTTTAAGTCCTTCACTCTTGAACCCACTTTCAACTATGTAAAATTTGGTCTTTTCCTTTTCCATTATCGCTAAACTGGGTAATTGGCCAAAAAGCATAGCATTCTAGTTAGAGTTGCATATATAATTAAAGTACGATGATTTGACCCTAAATTATGTTTATATTGAAAGTGAATTATGTGTAAAGATTCTCCAAAGGTCCAAATTGAACTATATTCGAGAATAGAGGAATATTGAATTTTTTTTTGGATTTCTTAGGATGATTTTGGAAAGATTTTTTACGCTGACAACTAACGCTGATAAGTGACAATCCGTCTGATGGCTAGTGTCAGAATTTGAATTTATGTTTGAGGGGGAAGGGGCAAGTTTGAGGTTAGAAGTTGAAATTGGTGTATGAAATATGAGAGAATGACTAAATGGTATATTGATTAAGGTTATTTAAGAAAATTACTATATGAGTATTTTATCATAAAAAATATGAGTGTTTTGAGATTTTTTTGGGTGCATTTAGAAACTACATTCTATTATAGCTCAAAAGCATCTATGACAGTTCATCTGCTTTTAGACTAAGTTAATTGTCAAAGTTGATATTTTTTTTCTAATCTTTGTTTATCTGTTAATGATATCAATAAAAATTTAACAAGGTTCAATATTTGATAGGTTAAAATAAAAACATTTTCTGAACTTAACATTTTGCAATTCATAGCCCTAATTCTTTTTTAAGTACATTTGTGTTTAGCTCAATGGAACAATACTTATGGTTTTAAATAAATGTGACACAATGAACTAGAATATGAAATTTCATTTGAAAAAGTTGAAACTCGAAGTCAATTGAATCTAATTTGACAAAAAAAAAAAAGATTTGAATTTGAAATTACTTGAACACAAAATTTTATGAACTCTAAAATAATCCAAACCTAAAAAATATTCAAATCTAAAATAATCTAAATTTGAAATAACTAAGTTTAAAAAATATGCTAAAATTGTTGCATTTTATATAAAATCTAAAAATAATATGAACAAACTTTAATTAAAAAAACCCAAAATTGAAAAATCTCCAATCCAAAATATCCGAACTTAAAATTGTTTGAATATAAAACAATTCAAACCTAAAATGACTTGAATTCAACATGAGCCAAACTTTAACCTATCATTTGCCACTCTTTACATATATTTTAATCATTTTAGGTTGCTATTAATAAATTTAATAAAGAATAATATCTAAATTTATCATTCTATTTAAGTAATGGATCAAATTTACAATCTATCTTTGAACATGTGTAATTCTATCACCATACTTTTTAATTTGGTTAAAAAAGATATTAAAACACTAAAAAGTTTTTTGAACTATTTTACTATTTTTAAATAAGCTCTTTTATTTTTATTGTGTCCATATAAGTTTTTGTTTCATTTTATTTGTATTCAAATAAACCTTTATTTAAACAAAAGATTGATTTATATTAAAGTTGATTTAGGTATAAAATAAAAAATAAAGACTTATTTGAATATAAATTAAAATTTAAGAGTTTATTTGAATGCAAATTAAAAGTCAAATGCTTTTTTAAGTTTAATAAACATATAAAGATTTACTTAAATAAAGTGCTAAAATTAGAATACTTTTTTATTATTTAAAAAAAAATCAAAAGTTTAAATATTTATAATTATTTTTTAATTTTCTCATTAAAAGTTCTTTTGTCATTAACTTTTAATTAGAGGTATAGGATGAGAGATTTGAGCGAAGCCAAACCCAATTTGCACCTCTAAAACTCATGCTTAAACTCAACCTATCCATTTAAATTATGATTATTATTAAAATATTAAAAACTATTTTATGTTTTCATATGTATTTTAAAATTAAAAATTTAATTAAAATATATTATTTATCAAAATAAAATATTTTTGGATTGATCCTTATCCTAAAATATCAATATCTAGGGCTCGAGTCAAATGGATTTAGTCGGGTAGCTCATTTTTGGTTTTGATATATATTTTTTTGAGCATACTTTTGATTTTTTTAATCAAATTAAAAAATATCTAATACATTTCAAAAAAAAAAAAAAAGAAGAAAAAACAACGATAAAATTATAATAAGATGAGTGATAAATTTAATTTTCCCTATAACGAACACTGTATCTATAAGGAAAATATGATTTGGACCATTGATAAAAAATCAGTTATACTGACAAAAATTTAATTTCCCTATAAGGAAAATAGTATCTCTAAGAAAAGTATTATTTGAAGTTTGGACCATTGATAAAAAATCAGGTACACTGACAAAATTTGAGTCATTTTCCAAATTTGGCACTGTTGAATTGAGCCTTAAATCAGGTTAGATTCAAAAATGCTCAATTCCCCGTCCCATCTTTATCCCTTGGATGCATTCTCAGAGGCTGATTCAGAAATTAATGTCACTCCTTTTTTGTTTTTTTATCCAAATTAATTAGATAAAATTGGAGTTTTTTATAATTATTTTAAGTTTTGTTCCGTATGTAAATCCCATTCTATTATACCTCCACAGCATCCGTTACAGTTCATCTGCTTTTAGACTAAATCAATTGTCAAAGGTGATTTTTTTTTTTCTAATCCTCTTTTTAATTATTTTTAATCACTTTCCCATTTCACTCAAAAATCATTTTTATTTTCTCTTGTGTTTGTGGATTTCGAAGAGATTTTGATTATGTTCTCATAAATAAAAACTTTCTGTTTGGATGCCAATAAAATTGAGTAACAGAAAGGAAAAAACCAAAATTTATTTATTTTTCTCACATTTTGTTGAACAAAAAGGCAAATTTACCAGTTCCTTTACTCTTTAAAGTCTGCAAAAGATGAACCTTTTATCTTATTTTACGTAGTGGGTTTGCTTCATTTCAGTTATCTGGAAAATGGCGCATGAAAGTATTGGGATAGCCAGAGATGTCACTGAAGTAGGTTTTTTTTTTTTCTTCTTTCCCTTTCTTTGGATGGGGATCTATTTTGATTTTGGATTTTTATTTGGGTAGAGTGATTTACTAACTGTTGGTCATTTTCTTTTTTGGTTTTGATTTTGATTGTAAAGTTGATTGGTAAAACTCCATTGGTATACCTGAACAATGTGGTGGATGGTTGTGTTGCTCGAATTGCTGCTAAGCTTGAAATGATGGAACCCTGTTCTAGTGTCAAAGACAGGTATCCTTTTTTAAAATTCTTTTTGGTTTATTGCTTCTACGGTCAGTCTGTTTATCATGCTAGAATGCTAAGTTCCCCTAAATACTTCAGGTTCTTATCTAAATTTCTGTTTTTGTTAAATCGTTGCAAAAACTTAACAGTTGTTTATGATTGGCACAGGATTGGCTATAGCATGATTGCAGATGCTGAGGCAAAGGGTCTTATTACACCAGGAAAGGTTAGTACCTGTTGTCGTGAACTAATTGTAAATTTTGAATTTGAGTTCTTACTTATAAAAAGAGAGTTAAATTACATTTTTGATATTTAAATTTTTATAAAATATATAAATTGATATTTAAAAAATAAAATATACAATTTGCACATTGAACTTTTAAATAACGTATTATTTTAATCTAAGTTTTAATATTTTTAATTTAATTTGCTTACATGATCTTTAATTAGTATAATTTTATTATATGCATATCATTTGTTAAATAAAAGTGTTAAATAAATGCTTTTATTTAAACTTTAAAAAATTTTCAATACACCTCAAAAAATTAATCATTAATGAAATTATTTAAATATCCACCACTTTTTTCTTCTCAGTGAGTTTCTAAAATTCATTTTTGGAAAAAGCAATTATTCATCCGAAATTGATTTTTGGAATTGAACAAAAGTTATTGGAAATTTATTTCCAGAAACTTTTTTAATAACTTTTTCAATGTACCATAAATTTATTTTTGAAAACTTTTTGATTGTATCAAAGATGTATTTTCAAAAAGTATTATAATTATTTAGAAATGCATTTTCGGAAGTAATTTTTTACTTTAATTTCTTTGTTATATTAGGTACGAGAAGGTGGATTTCATATCATTTGTTAAATAAAAGTGTTAAATGAGTGCTTTTAATTAAAGCCCCAAAAATTCTCAATACACCCCAAAAAATTAACCTTTAATGAAATTACTTAAATATCCATTAGTCAATTACATTTTATCCTTAATATCCCTTTTTTTTCTTAGTAAATTTTGAAAATTCATTTTAAAAAAAGCAATTATTCACCGGAAATTGATTTTCAAATTAAACAAAAGTTACTAGAAATTCATTTTCAGAGGCTTCATCAATAACTTTTTCAATGTATAGGAAATTCATTTTCGAAAACTTTTTCACTATACTTGAAATGCATATGTGAAAAGCATTATAATTATTCGAAATGCATTTCTAGAAGTAATATTTTATTTTGGTTTCTTTGTTGCATTAGGTATGAAAAGGTAGATTTCATATCATTTCTTAAATAAAAGTGTTAGATAAGTGCTTCTAATTAAACCCCAAAAAAGTTTCAATACACAAAAAAATTGACTTTTAATGAAATTGCTTAAATACTCATTAATCAATTACCTTTTTGCCCTTCACATGTCTTTCCTCTTCTCTAGTAAGTTTTGAAAATTCATTTAAAAAAAAATTATTCACTAGAAATTGATTTTCGTAATTGAACAAAAGTTACCGGAAATTCATTTTTAAAAACTTCTTCACTGTAATGAAAATAATTTCCAAAAACTTCTTCATTGTACTAAAAATACATTTTTAGAAAGCATTATAATTATTTGAAAATGCATTTTCAGAAGTAATTTTTTACTTCAGTTTCTTTGTTGCATTAAGTACGATGAGGTAGATTTTAATCCTTTGATCAGTATCTGACATGAAAATATTGAATGTTCCTTATTGCGATCTCTAAACGAGTCTCTAATGATTTCTTCGAAGTATGAACCATTTAAAATCCAGTAGTAAAGATGTTTAATCTTTCATTTGCATTATTCGTTTAATACTATTTGTAACATTTTTTCAATTCTAACAAACATGCATTTGAGAGAAATTGCTAATTATGAAAAAGCACTTGTGAGACAATCACATTCCATCTCACCAAATTTGATACCACCATAACATTTCTTGTTAGCAACTAGTTGCCTTGTAAGTGGGTATACAGGTGAGAGTCTGCTGATAAGAAATAGTATGGTGGGATCAAATTTGGTGAGATGGAGCATGATTGCCACATCTTAGATACAGGTTTGTCAAAATTGTAACAATGTTGCAAACATTATTAAGTAAACAATATTTGGTGGTCGAATGATTAAAGGTTTCAAATATCAAATTCGTCAATCATTGATGACATTGTTAGGATCAATGTTTCTTACGATGCCAAGTTATTGTGCCATAAGCAATGGCTTCCACAAACATCTTCAATGTACCAAAATTCCATTTTCAGAAGTTTTTAAATGTTTTTGGAAATGAATGTCCAAAAACCATTGAGAAATTTCGAAAATTCACTTTAGGAAATTCTTAAAAATTTTTGCAAATGGATGTCCAAAAACCTTTAAGGGAATCCAAAAATGAATTTCTAGAAGTTCTTAAACGATTCTGGATATCCATTTCTGAAAAGCCTTCAATAATTTTTGAAAATTCATTTTCAAAATGTTTGAAGTTTTGAAAATTCTTAAATGATTCTGGTCATTCATTTTGGAAAACCTTCAATAATTTTTAAAAATTCATTTTTGAAATGTTTAAATTGTATCTCAAAACTTAAAATCTTAAATCTTATGAAACTAAACACGAAACCAAATGCAATAGCAAAAAGAATAGATGATTAACTTTTGATTCTAAGCTATCTAATATCAAATGAGAGATTGGGGCTTGATTTGGGGCTTAATACTTTAAGGTTTTTAGGGTGTTCGGTTCAAGGAGATGAAGTGTTTGGATTTTTAGTGAATTTGTGTTTTGGGTTTGGGGTGTGTTGAGTAAAAAATTGGGTTTTACTAGTAGTGGGTTGTGAAGAAAAAAAGTTGTAGTGCAAATAGCAATCTGTGTCAAATATTCAGTAAAAATTTTATTTGGACATCATGTGGGAACCACATGACAAACAATAATTGACTGATCTTTAGACAACTTTTACTGTTCAAGTTAAAAAATATATTTTAATTTATATTAAAAAAGATGTTTACAGTATGTGTGATAAAAATATAATTTAATAATATTTTTCAAACGTCATATGTATAAGTTGATATGATTAATAGGATTAGAGTTTGGGTTAATATGATATATAATTTAAAGATTAGGATGTAAATTGTACATTTTATTCTTTTAGGTTTCAATTTATATATTTTTTTCAAGTTCAAATATTAAATGTGTAATTAACTATTATAAGAAATATGTGCATTATTAGTTGTAGTTGGCTTTAATTGTCGTGGAATGGTTGGCCTTAATTTGTGGAGTTTGAAGCTGGTTCGTGACTATGGAGTGGATAAAGTAATGCTTGAATGTGACTCTTTAATGGCTGTTAAAGAAGTTAATAGCATGGACACTTCATTCTGGGTAGATGGCAATTTGATTTCAAATATTCTGTTGATTTTGTCATGTCTTTAGAGATGCAAATAAGCTATCCCATAAGATTGCAAAACTTGAATGTCAGATAGGAGTACAAGGGGTTTGGTGTTCTCTCCCAAACTTTGTCTGTAATCCGGATTAGTATCAATGAAAGTCTGTTATTATAAAAAATGTGAACAAAAATGATCTGAGTTTCTTCGTGAAGGAACAACGCTTTATGTAAAATGTCCCTTGATTTTGTGTTTTAACTTTGTTCATGAATGGTTGCTGAAGAGTGTCCTCATTGAACCTACAAGTGGAAACACTGGGATAGGGCTAGCATTTATGGCTGCTGCCAAGAGATACAGGCTTATCATTACAATGCCTGCTTCAATGAGTCTTGAAAGAAGGATTATTCTCCGAGCATTTGGGGCTGAGTTGGTTCTCACGGATCCTGCTAAAGGCATGAAAGGGGCTGTACAGAAGGCAGAGGAGATATTGGCTAAGACACCCAATGCATACATGCTCCAGCAGTTTGAGAACCCTGCGAACCCAAAGGTATTTTCTGGAACAATATTTTAATGGATCTGATCATGGGCTGGCGAAGTCAATTAACATCAACTGTTGTTGGTATAGATACACTACGAGACCACTGGACCAGAGTTATGGAAAGGTTCGGGAGGCAAAATTGATGCACTTGTTTCTGGCATAGGTACTGGTGGTACCATAACAGGTGCAGGCAAATATCTGAAAGAGCAGAATCCCAACATTAAGGTAAGCTTGCATCTTTTATTGTACTACAAATTCACTGTTAAATCATTTAGTATATACAGCAGTCGAGTAGATAAATTATCTGTTTTTAATATCTTGTTCCCCATTTCTCATTAATTTCCTTGTTGGGTATGATAGCTTTATGGTGTTGAACCAGTTGAAAGTCCTGTTCTTGCTGGAGGAAAGCCTGGTAAGTTAAAAATCTTCATTCTTGCATATTATATACTAGCAGTTGGCATCTTTCTGTCAAATGATTGAACTACAAATTAATTATTCATAAGTGGAGCCTTAACACATTTCATTTTGGCATAAATCATCAAATGGGAGAATGGAAGGGTTAACGGTGTGTTTCACAAATTTTTTATGTTCTAAAAAAATGATATTCCTGTAATTCATTGGTTACTCCTTTCGTCGCAGACTGGAATAAAGAGGAATGGAATTGATATTTTGTGAGAATAAAAAAATAAAATAGAATATATATTTTTAAGTTTGGTTCATTAGAATAAAATAAAAAAGGTATTAGTGTTAATATATTTGGCTAGTTCAAAAAATATGAAAGGAATAAGTTCAAAAAATCATTTTACACTTATATTTTATTATAAAATTATTCATTAGTAAAAACGAATAAAAATTCAATAATTTAATGTAAAAATTAAATATCAATATTAAAATAATCATATTAAATATTAAAATTTAAACAATATTAATTCCACAATATTAAATGTTAACTTAATAATATTAAATATTAATTTGATATTATTAGATATTATTTAAAAATTTTAAAAATTATTGAATAATATTAATATTATTAACAATATTTAATATTAAACTAATAACATTAAATATTACTTTAATAAGATTTGCTATTATTTTACTATTATTTTAATACTATTTTCATATAATATTAATATTAAATATTAATTTAATAATATTTTAGTATTTTATTAATTTTTTTATTATACACTAATTTAATAGTATTTTAAAAATTAATTATTTAAATGTTATTTAACTATTATTTAAATATTATTTCAATCTTAAATATTAATTTAATAATATTTTAATATTTAATAACAAATATATTAATTTAATAATATTTAAATATTTAATATTATTTACAAATAATAATTGTTATATAGAAATATTTTAATATGAAATATTAATTTAATATATTATATTATTATCATAATATTTTAATATTATTTTTCATCATAAATATTTAATTTAGTGATATTCTAACATATTATATTATTTTCATAATATTTTGGTATTCTTTTTAGATTAAATATTAATTTAATAATAATTATATATTATATTATTTTAATATTATTAAATATTAATATGAACTTAATGTTAATAATATGAAATATGAAATATTAATTTAATAATAATTTAGTATATTATATTATTTTAAAATTATGTTAATGTTATTTTCAATATTAAATGTTTAATTTAATAAGATTTTAATATAGAGTAATATTTGAATATTATTTGAATATTAATTTAATAATATTTTACTATTAATATTATTTAATTATATTAAAGTAATATTAATTAATTATTGAATAATTAATATTATTTAATTAATTAAAATAAAAAATAATTAATCATAATAATTAGAATTAATTAAATATGAAAGGGTAAAATTGGAATTAAGTAGTTATTATAAGGATAAAGTTGTCCAATAAATACTATTCTCTATTACTGATGAGGCAGGAATTGCAATCCTTAAGGGAGAGTAGAGAATTGCTAGTCCTTGGTTTTAAGAATTGACATTCCATGGAATTGTTACTCTTTGCTAAAAAAATAACCAAACAATGAAATAGAAAAGGCATAAAGAAAATGGCTGGAATAAAATCCCAATTCCATCCAACCAAGGGGTGAGTGATTCCTGTCTCTTTTGCACATTGTCCCCAAGAGGTATGTCTATGGATTCTACACATGAAATTTCATCTTCACACCATGAGTCTGCTTTCCTTAAATTTGTTGTTTGGCTCTCTCCAAGACATTACTATAAGCTAAAAAGTTTATCGGTTTGATGACTGTTGGTTGTTTCATGCTTATATATCAAATATCAAGGTCCGCATAAGATCCAAGGAATAGGTGCTGGTTTCATCCCTGGTGTTTTGGAAGTCAATATCGTTGATGAAGTTGTTCAAGTAAGGCCGATATGTTAATCATGCATGATATTGATCCTCCTATTCTGTTTTGTAAAGTTTTTCTTCTAAACCATTGATGAAAAAGCTTAAATATTAGTTGGTTTATTTATGTTGTCCTGCCTGATTGAGGTAGCTTATCACAGTGAATGCTAATAAACCACAACTACCGTCCATTCCTATTATTATTGTAAATTTGCAGGTATCAAGTGATGAAGCTATTGAAACTGCAAAGCTTCTGGCACTGAAGGAAGGTTTACTCGTAAGTTTCTCAATCTTTCAAAACCAGAGATATCTCAGTGGGATTTATCTCATCCATTTCTATTGTCCCTGCACTTAGCTGACTGTTGAAGCATCTGTTACAGGTGGGAATATCATCCGGGGCGGCTACTGCAGCTGCAATTAAAATTGCTAAGAGACCTGAGAATGCTGGAAAACTCATTGTTGTAAGTTCAATAATGGGTCCTGTTAAACCTGCAAAGCAAATTCTGCCCTGTATTACTTTAACTTCATGAATTAGAACCTCTCTCTCCCACTCTAAATTGCTCTGATCTATTCTATAAATTTACGCAGGCGATATTTCCGAGCTTCGGGGAAAGGTATTTGTCCTCAGTGCTGTTTGAATCTGTAAGAAAGGAGGCAGAGAGCATGACCTTTGAGCCTTGAGCTATCCGCTGGTTTTAGACAAAGATTAGGAATTTTCCTTGGCTGAATCCCAGCAGTTTTAATTAGGATTTTCACACTACAGCTATGTTTTTCCATTAATTTTAGACCCATTGCGACATTAAAAATTTCTCCATGGATGTGCTGCAATAAAGTTTTCAGTAATTCTATTTGAGTTTTTGTTAGATCCGTTTGAGCCGAAATTGACGCAAGAGCGAACACAAGAAAGACGTCAAGACAAATGCGCAAGGTTGATTCAGCGTTTCTACTAAGTACGGTTATGCTCAGTGCGCTGGCGTTTAAGTTAGTGTGTTGCGTCTATTCCAGTTATGTTTATTTTTGGCCTGATTTAGCAGAAACAAGAAATTACATTAAAAACTGTAATTAAAAAAATACAAAAAAGTTCCATTCCAATAAATAAATCAGCTGAAGAAATCTTGGACACCTTTGCCAGCAAAAACCCGATCAGAAAGCTCAGCTAAAACGGCATTAACAGTAAGTAAAACGACACTAGACCCAGCAATAACCCCAAGCACAACGCCGGTGGTCCCCAACACTTTCCCAAACGCAGGCCACTCGATTTCCCTTATCTCCTCCGCCACTCCGCCCGCAAGATTATTATTACTCCCTTCTCTCTCCTTCATCGCCTTCTTTATCTCCGCTCCTATCTCACTCAACTCGCTTTCTTCACTCGCCGAAGCTTCTGCTTCCACTTCCATTGCGGTCTCTGACTCTTCCACACTCTCTTTGCTTTCTTCGATGGCATTGATGGGAAAAAATTGGTTTTTGTTCAAGTTGCCCCTGATTTTGAGAAGAGACCTGGTTCTGGAAGGGAATGAGAAGAAACCGCGACTGACAGGTGCCGCTTTCGGTTGTATGGTGGTTGGAGAAAGCGCAACTGTTTTTTGTGATGAGACTGGAAATTGCAGCGAGACCACCATTTTACACTAGGTGAGTGAAAACTGTTTTTTCGGATAAATGTATGGTGCTTCGATTGTGGACGTTGAGTCAAAATATTGGGTTCGTGGGCTGACTCATGAAGGGTGGTGGCCCAATCTGTTGTGGGCAAATGGCCTCTCTCTCTTTGTATGATAACTCAGATAATAGATAAGCCGGACTTGGGGCAAAAGGAAAATAAGGGAAAAGGAAAAGAAAACAGAAGAGAAAGAAATTGAAAAGGAGGGAAGAAATCATAATGAGAAAAGGATTTAGGAGAAAAAAAAAATGAAAACAACGACAAGAAAATAAAAATTTTGAAAAAAAAAGTTTTGGTTTTAGATCTTTTATAATTTTTTTCATTCTTTATTTTCTTTTAAAATACAATCAAATAAAATATATAATTTAGAATGATTTAAGAAAAAATATTAAACATTCACATTTAGTCAATGAATTTGTTTTTTGAGTTAATGCACAAAAAAAGAAGAGAAAAATAAGGAAGAAGATTGTTCTTAGCATTAAAAGAAAAAAAAATGAAAATAAGAATTTATTCTATTATTTTATTTATTTTTTCATATTTTATTTTCACTTCCCTATGTTTCATGTCTTTTAGATATTTTTTCAAAAATAAATTTTAAAAAACTTTAAAAAACATGTCAAACAGAAATGTTTTTATGAACAAATTCCGATATTTTAAAATTTTTTAAAAAAATACACATGTTTTGAACTTTCCATGAATCTAGCTTTTTAAAGAAAGTTTTGGACCATATTCTTTGTTATTTTCTTTTATTTTTAAATTTAAACTTTAGTAAAGAGTTTAGATTTTTTTATTTTTGTAAAAAGAAAGATAGAGAGAAAGAAAAAAGAAAAAAATAATTAAAAAAATGAAACTTTCTCACCCTTATATATATATATATATATTCTCTTTTATTTTGGTTTTTTCCTTCTTTATTTATTTATTTATTTTCTTAAAATGTTTTCTTTAGAACATTTATAATTTAATATTATTTGTTTAAAAATCATATAAATAAAAAATTTATCAATATATTTTTTTAAATAACAAAAAGGAGCATATGTTAATATATGAAAAATATATAGGTTTCTAAAAATAAATTATACGGATAAAATTTTAAACCTATTCAATGAAATTATAACAAAGATTGGGATAAAAGGAGTTGGCTTCATGCAATTAAATTTTTATTTGTACCAAATCTTTTCTTGATATCTATTTACAGTAAGCAAGCTTTAATCATATTACTAGCTATTAACCCACGCTTGGGTGATTTTTTTTCATTTGTGACAGTATTTGTTTTTCAATTGTCAAACAAAAGAAGGTGGATTTTCTCATTGATTGAATAGGTGGATGGTTCACTTGATGAATTTGCTTCTCATGCTTCTTCATAATATGGTTGGATAGCTCTAATGTTTTGTGCACCAAACTTGCTAACAATTTTGTTCAAAAAAATGTTAATAATAAACTACTTAGATTTTTGCAGATAATTGAATTTATAAAAGCATCTTAGTACCTAGGTCAAAGAAAACTAACAGAAAAAACAAAATTTAGATATTTTTATTACCTTGTTTAGCTTGAATTGAGTAGGTCAAAGCAAATTGTAAAACTAATCATGCATCTCCATGGATGACCGAGTCGGACACGACCTGACTTGGAGAACCCTGACTTCTTCTCCAGCATTTCTTCTTGCACGGACTTATCCACCTTTTGTTTCTTGTGTAACTCATCGCTTTATTCTCTATCGTCTTTCTCACACTTCGAGTTTGAGTCCCTGTAGGTGTCCCTGCGTCATTGGGATTTTAGGTAGGTGAGCCATGGTTTCCAGATTCATGTCTTTTGTTCGACAAATCTACTTGTTAGACATAAAAAGTATAGAGTTATTATCAATTTTTTTTATTCAGGTATAATTTATCATATATGTGAATATGTCTTTTTTAAAATTATCCTAAATTTAAATTAAAGGTTTTTAAAAAGAATAAATTATAGTCTATATTAATAGAATTAAGTTAGAAGAGTTGATTACATACAAAAAAGATATTAGCATTTATTATGTCTAGAATTAGTACCAAATTAATCATATTTTATTTTATGTAATCCTTAATCAAAGATGATTTTTAATTAATTTCAATATTTAAATATTGAAAGAAATCGTTAGGCTTGTATTAAAAAAAATTATCCTCATCTCAAGAATACTCAAAATAAATTCGTTATTTACCTGAAAAGGTTTCGTCATCAAATTTATTAAATATTTTATGACAAAGAGATCGATTTATTAACAAAATATTGTCATACAACATTTCTATAAAAAAATATCATGCAAATATATAATAATTAAAACATGTAAAATAAATAATGCGAAACTAATCATGCAAAAATATTATAATAAATCATGCAAATAATGTAATAAAATCATGCAAAATATGTTAAAAATCGTGCAAATAAAATAAAAAGTATAATGGAAATATATATACATATATATATTATTCATGCAAAATTATAAAAAAAAATGATGCAAATAAAATCATAAACATGCAAATTATAAATATCCTATTGAAGTTTTTTTTTTTCCTTATCACTTTTAATTCAATCAACAATAATAAATAATAAAATAAAAATAGAACATAAAATAAAAATAAAATAAATCAAAATAAAACCAAAATAAAATAAAATCAAAATAAATAAATAAAGAAAAGAAAAGAGAAAAGAAGAAACCTACGACAGGTTGGGTTTTAGGGCAGGTTATTGGGTCGAGGTTCGAGTCAAAGCTATCTCCAAAATAACATCGCATTGAGCTAATATAAAAACCAAAAAAAAAAAAAATCAGACTTTTCTTAAAACCCCTTTCTCCTTCTTTCTAGACTTATTTCTTTCAACCTTTTCTCTAAAGAATCCATCGAGAAATTCAACAAATCTTCATATTCTGACCATTAATTTCAGAATTCGATATCAAAAAATTTAACTGGCATTGAAAAATTCATTGAAAAATTCAACATTTTCCTAGAACCTAGCCACGAAATCCTTTTGGCCACTATAACATTTAACTGGAAAACTTAAACTCCACCAGAAAATTTGAGCCTAAGCCAAGAAATTCAAACAAGACTTGAAAAAAATCCAAAAAAATCAAAATCCAAGAATCAAGCCAAAACCTAAAAATTCAAACCAGAATCTAAACAATCCTAATCCAAAGTCCTAAAATTGCAAAAAGATCCCAGAATAAAAAATCAAAAACTTAAAGCTTCCCAAATCCCAAAATAAAATCCTAAAATCTTCTAAGACAAAAAAAAAAATTCGAATTTTAAAATCTCATAACCTAACTAGGAAAACCTTTGCTTTAACTAATTGCTCAAAATTATTAGTTGCTTGTTAATTGCTTTCTTGCTTTGTGCTTGTTGTGAATTACATACTATGGTTCTTTTTGTAGGGATTAAATCCCTTTCAATTTGCAAAGCTTCAAGTCTTATCAAATCTTGGCAAAATCAAATTTTAATTCTTTAAAAAAATCATCTTTCCCTTTTTCAATGAATTAGAGCCCAAGAATTTCCATAAGCATTGGTTCTTAGATTTCTAGTATTTGAAATCGAATCTACCAAATTTTTTTTTTAAAAAAAAGCCACATTTTTTCTTTTTTTGACTTTTAACTAGTTGACTTAATAAACAAAAAACAAAAATAATAAAACAAAAAATAAAAATAAAATTTTAGGCCCTTAATCTTTGGAGCTAGAATTCAATATCAATCAAGGCCCAATTGAAAAAAAAAAAAAGCATTTTTTGATATCGAAAATTTCTCAAACAAAATAAGGTGTTTATAGTTGCCCTTATTTGCACATTTTTTATGAAACAAGAATTGTGCAAAGACATAGACACCCATTATATCTAGATTTGAGTTAAAATAAAAATTTAGAAATTCTGATATGAAATAAAGATTCGCAATTTGCATGCTTATTATATCTAGATCTGAGTTAAAATAAAAATTTAGAAATTCTGATATGAAATAAAGATTCACAATTTGCATGCTTTTCAAAAGTTCCCAACTTGAAGTTGAAAGGTTCACAACTTGAAATTCAAGGATTCCCAATTAAATTTAAAAGTTCGTAAGATTTCAAAGATTTGGAAGAAATCAAAGGTTTGCAAGGGATTCAAGATTTGTAAAAATTCAAAAGTTCTCAAAAGATTCAAAATTTGTAAAAATTTAATGGTTCACAAAAGATTCAAATTCGTAAAGATTCAAATGTTCACAAAAGATTCAAGATTTACAAAGAAATTTAAAAATTCACAAAAGATTCAAGATTTGTAAGTATTCAAAGGTTCGCAAAAGCTTTAAGCTTTGGTAAGAAATCCAAAGACTTATAAAAGATTTAAGATTTGCAAATATTTAAATTCAAGATTTGCAACGATTCAAAGGTTTGCAAAAGATTCACAAATAATTTAAAGATTTACAAATGAAGCTTCTAAAATTCAAAGATTCACATTCAAAAAAAATTTTGAGATTCACATCAAAAGTTCAAAGATTCAAATTCAAAAATTTTAGAAATTCACATACAAGATTCAAAGGCTCACATATGTAAAATTTTAAAGATTCACATCCAAAGATTCAAAGGTTCTCATTAAAAAATTTTAGAGATTTACATCTAACATTTAAAGATTCATATTTGAAATTCTCATTTAAAATTTTTAGAGATTCACATCTAAAATTTAAAGATTCACATCCAAAATTCAAAGATATGCATTCTAAAAGTTCAAAGATTCTTATTTGAAAATTTTAGAGATTCTCATCCAAAACTTAAATATTCACATTTGAAAAGTTTAAAGATTCTCACTTGAAAATTTTAAAGGTTCTCATCCAAAATTCAAAGATTTGCATTCGAAAAGTTCATATCTAAAATTCAATGTCTCAAGGATTTACATATGACATTCTCATCTTATGGCAAAAAAACTCCTCTAAATAGAGGCTTAACAACTTTAAAATCTTTTCAAAATATCCTCCTCCTCCATTTAATTAAAAAATTCTTTGCAATCAAGAGTCAAAATCTTAACAATTTTTCCATCTAAGAGTCAAAATCTTATCTTAAAA